GGAACCTCATATATCAAACTAATAAAATTCGCTCGGCCATGTAAGCCACCTTAAAAATAAAAAAAAAAAAAAAAAAATAAAATAAAAGACAGCAATCCTGTTTATTTGATTATAATTTATAAATTATGTCAGCGTTGTTATGATTTGAAATAATGTATGATCATTGAGTTCGAAAATTTGTTCTAAAATAGTATTCGGTACAATCAAATAATTATTAATACATAATCCAATCAATTAGGTCCAAAGTTTTAAATAATAAAATAGACGTAGCTATATATAAAGAAAGTTAAATTCTTTTTAAGTAAAAAAATAACGTAATCACCCTACCGCTACTGTAATTTAAATTTTCTTTTTAATTTCTGCTAATTTTAAATACCATTTAAATGTCTTTTGTTCATTTTAATAATGTCTATGCTATTTTCGAACTGCAGGTTGCCTACTAGAATTCAAATACTTTTCATTTTTAGAAATGCCTCACTGTTTTTAAACTATGAATTGTTCACTAGAATCTTCATTTTCAGTAGATTTTAAATATTGTTAAAATGTCTTCTTTTTATTTGTCGTAATAAATTCTAATAATGAGTTATGTTTGTGAATCTTTAACAAAGTTCAAAAGTTGCTTAAAAATTTCTATGTCCAAATAATTTTTGTGTGGTTATACAGCTATCATTCTACAATTTTCTTATTTTAATAAAATAAAATAAAAAAAACTATTCAGTAGTATGAAAATCTTTAAAACATAAACGTTGTTTGTTACAACATAATGCTACGCCACAATTGCTACACCAAATTTGGGATTAGGGAGGATTTTGTAAATATGTTTCGTTATTTTTTTTTCTTATATAATGACACCATAAACATGAATCTCTTTTTTCTTTATATTCAGGAAAATGTTCACCAACAAATCTATTTAATGGTAACTGGAAATTGCCTGAAACCTTATATTTTTTTGTACTTTTTGCTTTTTCTTTAACAGAATTTTGATCTTCATGCCGTGTGGTACGTTTTAAAGGATTACTTGTTGCATCTTTAATTAAATCACGAATTAATTCTAATCTAAACTTTTTATGCTCAGTACTTATAGTTAGGTTTTTGCAAATTAGATATGAATTTATCAGTGAAGTATCTAATAACCAAAAAAAAAGAGGCTTCCATGTTCTACGAACAATTAATTGTGTTGAATAATAACTACAGAGTTGATCTGCAATATCCATACTCCTCATATAAAAATTATAGTCGTTGATAACTTTTGGTATTAATAAATTTTTGCGTGCTAAATCTCCAAATACAGTTTTTAATTTTTGGCTATTTATAATTGTTTCTCTTAGTCTTCTTCACTCTTTTTCAACTCTACTATTTTCTCCTTCAATAACATAAATTGTAGTAAGCATCGTAATAGGGCCATTATTAATCCATAATAGTGCTAAAACATTATTAACTACAATGCCTTTTAAATAATCCCATTCTAAATTTTTTTTTTCCTTTTCTTTTTTTAAAACAACTAGAAAGTTTGCAGTATTAGTACGAACAGTACCACATGCTCTATAGCCTTTTTCATGAAGAAAATTAAACAAGTTAATACTAGAGAAATAGTTGTCCATAAAAATATTAAATGCTTTGTTAATTGGAAGCTGTTTCACAAGATAATATACTTCAGCACCAGTTTTGTTAATATTAGGAATTAGATCAACATTTGAAGATTCTATTCTTGATGTAAACATAAATGAATAAGTATATCCAGAATCACATAAAGATAAGATTTTATAGCCTTCAGGTGTTAGTTTATTCTTAATTCGGAATGTATGTGCGCTTCTTCCTGAAAATCATGCAATCATCTTATCTACTGCAAAATTAGATGCAGAAACATAAAGTTGTTGAGAAGTATTACAAATATGAGACGCTAAAAGTTCTAACTTCATAAATATATTTGAATTTGGTTTTGTATAATCTGATATATGAATATATCGCTTAATGTATTAATTTAAAATAAAAATATTTAATTAATAAAAAATAGATTTCAAAAATATCACTAGTTGAAAATAGAAAAAACAATACTAAATCATCAAACATTCAGCATACTATTCATCAACTATTCGGCAAACATTCATCAAACATTTGGCTACTGAATGTTTGACAAATGTTTGCTAAATAGTTGACGAATGGTATGCTGAATGTTTGATGATTTAGTGTTATTATTTTTATTTTCAACTAGCGCTAGTGTATAATATATTTATAATTTAAATAAAAATACTTATCTGTTGAAATCTAAATAAAGTCATGAACTTGGTTATTTCATGTGAAGGATAAAGTATATCTTGACTCTAGTAATCTTGAATTGCTGGAAATTTAAAGATTCCCATATATATTACTATTGCTAACCAAATTTTAAATTCAGATATAGTTAGTGGTTCCCATTTGCAATTTGTAATTGTATTTTCAGCTTTTGCAATTTGTGCATATGCATAAATATTAGTATTTTGTACAATCGTTTCTATTAATCGTATAGAAAAAAATTTAGTAAATATGTAAAAATTAGATAGGTTTTTTGATTCTAAATCATTAGAAGGTAATAAAATAGATGATTGATGTAATGGATATAAATGTTGAAAAGATAAAAAATTTAACGGAGATATAGATATTATAGATTTGTTATTTTTTATACTAATATTTGTATTTTTTTTATTAGTCTCTAATTCCAAGTCAGTTTCTTCATTATCGATATTATGATTTCGTTCAAATAAGCAAATATAAATATCTTCAATTTCTGTTTCATTATTTAAATCTATTTTACAGATTAAACAAAAATATCGTAGTCAAATTTGCCTGTGATACAATTTATTTAGATATTGTACAAGCATTACCATAATTGTATCGCAGACAAATTTGCCTGCGATACAATTCATTTACATTAGTAACAGTAATTTGTTTTTAATTCATTTATATTAGTAACAGTAATTTGTTTTTAATTCATTTCCATTAGAACATTAATTTGTCTTCAATTTATTTACATTAGGAACAGTGATTTTCTTACAATTCATTTACATTATAGCATTAGTAATGATAATTTAAATATTATATGAACTCATAATTGTATTGCAGGCAAATTTGCCTGCGATACAATTCATCTACGTTTACATTTGCAACATTAATTTAGATATTACACAGACAATAATTGTATCGCAGGCTAATTTGCCTGCGATACAATTCATTTACGTTTACATTTGCAACATTAATTTAGATGTTGCACAGACTATATTTGTATTGCAGGCAAATTTGCCTGCGATACAATTCATCTATGTTTATATTTGCAACATTAATTTAGATATTGCACAGACCATATTTGTATCGCAGGCAAATTTGCCTGCGATACAATTCATCTACATTTACATTTGCAATATTAATTTAGATATTGCACAGACCATAATTGTATCGCAGGCAAATTTGCCTGCGATACAATTCATCTATGTTTATATTTGCAACATTAATTTAGATGTTGCATAGACCATATTTGTATCGCAGGCAAATTTGCCTGCGATACAATTCATCTACATTTACATTTGCAACTTTAATTTAGATATTGCACAGACTATATTTGTATCGCAGGCAAATTTGTCTGCAATACAATTCATCTACGTTTATAATTGCAATATAAATTTAGATATTGCACAGACTATATTTGTATCGCAGGCAAATTTGGTTGCAATATAATTCATCTACGTTTACATTTGCAACATTAATTTAGATATTGTACAGACTATATTTGTATCGCAAGCAAATTTGCCTGCGATACAGTTTATTTATATTTGTAATAGTAGTTTATCTATAATTGTATTGCAAGCAAATTTGCCTGCGATACAATAGTGTCATAATTATGTGGATCATAATTGTGTTACATGTCATGTCATATAATATTAGCTGCAAGTCATTTTTTTTTTTTTTTTTTTTAATGAGGGGGGCTTACTTTGGTGGGGGGCGTTTTTGTGTTTTTTTTTTTGGGTACTGTGG